TGCACTGTTACCTAGAAAATGAAAAATGATGTTTAAAGAATGAGATAAAAGTAAAAGGTACAAAGTACACCATTATATATTTTATAGTTTTTGAAGGTAAGTTTATGCCATTCATGAGTAGACAATGTGCTCTGCGATAACAGTTCTCAATTTTTAATGTCAAAGTTGACATCCATTAGCCAGGCAATGTTTTTCAACAGTTTGTTTCTTAGGAGGTTTGGTCACATTGATGCTTTCACTTTTCCATCTATAGATATTTGTTTACCAAACTGATAGCACGTCTCTTTAGTGACTGTTGGCTACCATCGCCACTCTAGTTGATCATTTAACAAATCTTGAATGCATTTTAGATTTATGTTTAACCTGTTGACTTTCTTTTGGTTGTATTGGTATGGACTGAGAGAATTAAAAATCCATTTAAATATCTAAGGTGGTTTATTTTAATAATTATTAACTCAAAAGATAACTATAAATTTTTAATAGATGTAAATACATAAATAAGAAAATAATTTTATCTTAAAAATTTTAGTGGATTTTTAGTGGATTCCTTTGGTTTACCAGCAAAATAATATGTCACATTGACTGTTGAATTTTTATTTTAATATTTACCTTTTAGATATTTCAATATTTAATGCATTAACAGAGATAATTGTTTAACACCTGAGTTTACAAGTAGCACCTCTAGTGTTTCACTATTGAGTTTTCCATGGGCTGGAAATATATATGATTAATCACATTAATGTATTAGACTAGTCCTATTTAAAGTTTATAGTGTTTTATTTATTTTTCTTTTTTTTTGGTGGCTGGCCAGTATGGGGACCTGAACCTGTGACCTTGTGGTACAATATTGCGCTCCAACCAACTGAGCTAACTGGCCAGCCCCCTTAAGATTTAAAGTTTTGCGCTCAGTTGTCATAATTGGGAATGAATATTGAGAATTTTATTAATAGTTTCTTGATTTGCTGATGTATATTTTATTAGTAAATTTCTTTATATTTATCTTTGCATTCTAGGAACTAAACTTAGTTTTAGTAACTTAATATAATGATTCTATCTGCTAGAGTTTTATTAAGTATATTTATGTCAGATTGGTCTGTTTTGGGGGGAGGTGTTGGTGTCATATCTAGCAGAATTGGCAAAAAGCTTAGGCTAATTTTAAGGAATAAAATGGTCTGTGTTCCATCTTTTTAAATATTGTTCTGGAATAATCTGTTTCTTGAAAATTTCAAAGAAGAATCTGACAGAGATTCTACTGGGCCAAGAAGTCATTCTTGGTAATAATTCTTTGAAAATTTTATTATTTGGGGAGGGGGAGGAAAGGTTAGTATTAAAATCTCCAATTTCATTAGATTTTAGTAGCACAGACCTTTGTTTAGTATTTTTATAATCCATGAAGTCTAGTTTGTTGTTACAGAATCACATTATAACACGGTAATATCCTGTTAGACTAAAGATATTTGGCATTTTCTAGCAGTTCTTACATGTAGGAAAAAACTGTTATGTAACCAAAATATAAAATCATATCTCTGAAGCCAGGTATTTAGAATTTAATTTATACCTTAATTAACTAGTGAACCTTTAATTCTTAGGAACATTGATTTTTCTAGTTGATAAGGTTTAAAACAGCAAGCTAAAAGATAACTATGAAGACTATCAAATGAAGACAAAATTATTGCCATGAGGTGACAGCTGTCAAAACGGACAATAAAAGACAGAAAAATCCAAAATTAAAGTAAACAAAATGTTGATACATGAGTGTCAGTTCCACGGAAAATTTACTTAGAAATCTAATATTACACTAAGAAAAATTAAGCATATTTCTACTTTAAAATGTATTTAAGATTCAATTAATTGAATCTTACATTTAAAAATCTTTTTCCAATTCAAAGATTAAATAACTAAATGAGATCTACTAGGAAAAGAAAATATATTGAGTTGCTGTGAGTTACATCAATACATGTCACATACCATCTAAACCATGCACACAGACAATGAGATGTACTCCATCTTCAGAACCATCCTCTTCTTCCACACTAAAATAAGGTACTGAGGATGCCAGCAGAGGAACATCACTGTACATGAACCCAGGGAGTTTCAGTTGCCTCAATTCTTCTTTTGCCTGAAGGAAGCTGAAGTAAAATATTACAAAAGATACTCTTTACTAAGGATCATATTAAGGTTTTAGAACCAGAAAGACTGGGGCCGGCCTGGTGGCGCACTGCTGCAGTGCGCCGCTTGGGAAGTGCGGCGGCGCTCCCGCCGAGGGTTCGGATCCCACATACAAACTGGCCGCTCACTGGCTTGCCGGTCACGAAAAAAGACAAAAAGGAAAAAAAAAAAAAAATAGAACCAGAAAGACAATCTCCTCAATTTAGAGAATTTCAGAGGTGAAAACCCAGCAATATCTGGTTTTAAGCTCATGAAAATATGTGGGATCACCTAAATGAATAAGTCATAGGGTAATTCTCTTTACTATTTTTAGTATATGTTCTGATCAAATACAATGAACACTTTAAGCTTAAATCACTTAAAAAGTATTCTTTTAAAAACTTGAATTCAATAAAATATTAGGAGTGGAGTTTCACTTTTTGCAAAGTTTAAGGCTGTATGTAAAGAAAGTTGGGAGAGGTACTGGAAAGACGATGGTCTGATGTTTATCCTGTAATTAAATCTTATCCTCTTTGCTATTCTACAAAGCAGTGAGAATGGTAGTTGTAGCATTTAGTAGATTAGGTTATTTGTATTTTTCTCTAAAAATACTAATAAGAAGGAACAGAACCAAGAGGGGGATATGACTAAATATAATTGGTAGCATATATTTATTTAGAATGACTGATGACAAATCTAACCAATTTGGGGATTGCAAACATCAAAAATTATTAACTAACATTGTATCATTTGGACTGATAAAAGTGAAATTCAAAAAGCTGATCAACACTAAATTGAGTAGGATACACTGGGTGGAGACACATCGACCATTCCTTTCTGATGACTCAGAGGCAGTACGAAGTACCCAGAAGGTGGTCTAACCCTCAAGTTCCCAGCATATTACATTTTTTTAATCAGTCATTGTCACCTCAGCAATTTCACTAGCTTTAGCTTTTCTTTCCATTATGGATCTTAATTTTATGCATAAACCCAAATAATCAGGGAACTTAAAAAACCCACTGTACACATGTGCAGACCTCTCATCCCAGAGATTATGATTTAGTCTGGGGTGAGGCAGTAGAATATTTTGAGAACCAGTGCATGCTAGTTAACCCATGTCATATCCCCAAGTTTTTCTGGCTATTATACTGGTCCATGAAATACTAATTTTAAAAACCACTGACTAAGCTGAGGCAATAAGGGTCTGATAGGTTTAAGAAGTTTCTGCTAACCTGTTATTCATTTATCTAATATTATCCTTCTTTCTTAGATGTTCTCATAAAACTTGGCTTTTGTCTGGGGGTTAATGGGAGAGAAAAGAGGTACTAAAGAAAAAAGGGTTTTAACCTTAGTTATTCCATACCTCTAACACAAAACTACCAATGGTAAATTTATATGAGGAACATCTAGCCTATAGAACAGGACAATCATTCGGGAACTACAGGTCTATCTGTCAAAGGGTATACAGTGTTCATTTTTCCATTTTAAATAGCTAATCAAAGAAGCACTTTTTGTGTTAGAGAAATTGGAGAACAAAACAGACACTCAACCCTTCAGCTCTATTCATGATGTTCTCTCTATATACTTAGTGGCACATACTATTGTGCTTCTCCATTACTTACGCTTGTATTTGAGGTTTTGGTGAATTTTCATACCAGGAAACTGAAGATGTCAAGTTGTAAGAAGTGCTGCTTGGCTGCTTTGTAATGGCATCAACTTTACTTTTAGAAGAATATTTAACACTACAAGGAGACTCTCGTGGTGCAGATGGGAAGGATAAACAACCAGAAGCACAAACAGTAGGCATATTTATACCATCCCTCAGATATTCATTGCTTATTTTTTCAGATTTTGTAAGTCTTTCTTCTGCTAGTGCGTCTCTGCTTGTATAGTGAGCATTTACTGTTCCATCCAAAGTTGAATAATCTGTTTCTTCATAATACCCATTTTGAACCATTTGTTGATCCTGTTCTTCCTCTTCCTCCTCTTTACCCTGTTCCCGCTTAAGATTACTAATTTCTTTTTCAGAAGTTTCCTTCTGAGGGCTGACTGAATTGTTGTAGCTAACAGCACATGTGTCAGAAACATCCGTACTGCTTTGAGAACCAAAATAATTTTCCACAAGCCCTTGCTTTACCATGTCAGCACTGGCTGAAAAAGGGTCACTTGTACACAGATAAGTTTCACTTTCAACTGTGGGGACTTCTGAATATATTTGTTTGGGATTTAACGCATCACTATTCTTTCTTTTCACAGTTCTATCTTCACTTACGTCTGTATTAGTAGAAATGGAACCTGGAATGACACAAGGAGTGCCTAAACAAATCAGTTTTGAATTTAATGTAACTGCCATCCCTGCAGAGTTACTAGATTTATCAGCACTCTGGGAGGCTTTACACATAGTGTCCAAGTTAGGTTTGGGGCTGCAACTACTTTTCACATCACTGGAAGTATCTTCATCTGAAAAAGCAAATTGTAAACAGTCTTTAATGCTTGAATTTAAGGAATGTATTGCTAAAGATTCATTGTCCAAATGCCCTGAAAATACAACACTCTGCTGTTGCAAAATAACACTTGATTTTTTAATGTTGTCACATTTTGGCAAATCAATTGTTACTAGATTTAATACAGTTTTGTTATCGCTAAGATGGCATTCAGGTACAAAAGATTTCTTAGAACTTTCATCAGGTGACAGTTCATCATCAGAAGGGAGAGAGTTTATGGATGTCAAAGACGACTGTATTTCACTTAAAGCACTTGTACTCTCAGTGCAATGACTTCCTAGTGAAAATTTTACATTACAATCAGTTTTCATCAAAAGCTGAGGAAATAATCTTTCATTACTGTAAGGACCTTGCCCTTGCACAGTTTCAAACACTGTATCAGGGTTTGGATGTGTTGCAAAAGAACTTGGTTCACTTTCAACACCAGAATCTGAAAATCTAGATGAGGCATATGTAGCATTAATGTCTGGTAACTTAATTGTATCTCCACTTACTACAACATGATATTCTTTTGTAGAAGCAGCAGGTAGATTACTTCTTAATTTAGCTAATGATTCTCCAATAGAACGACACTTAGCTTCTTGCAAAGCTTCCTTTTCAAGTGTTATTTCTACAGATTTAGATTTACCATTAGATTCTAAGGAATCAAAGTTGGGTAATGAATTATCCACAAATATTTCATCTTGTTGAAGCTCTGTCCAAGGTCCTATTTTAACAGTTATTTTCTCTCCACTGAACGGATCTTTGTTACTGGGCTTTACTTCAATTCTTCTAACTCCTGAAGATGGGGTTGTTTGATGATCACGGCAATCATCTGATGAACTTCTGGATGCCAGATTGTGCTCCATTTGCGTAATTTCACTATCGTCCTGGGAGATATCAAGTTTACCTGAAATGGACAAATTTGCACAAAGATTTAGGCTGCCAGAGTTCAAAGTATCAAACTGGTCTGGCTGCATATTTTCAATATCTGGAGACTTCTGATCAGTTCTCTCTGTATTAGTTGGTAAATAGCTAGCTTCCTTTTGACTTGTCTGTCTGACGTAGGTCTTTGGGTCAAAATTATATCCACATATTGTGGGATCCAGACCTTCTTTCTGACTATGTGAAGGATTGCCTTCAAAGCATTTAGTGAGATCATTTGATGGTGTACTTTTCAAACATTTGTAGCCTACCAAAATCACAGAATCCTTAGAGTTCTGTTTTATTAATTTTTTTGTGTTCTCAGATTTCATTGTTTTCATGAGCTTAGTAACCTTAACCTTGGATTTATTTGATTCTTCACTCTTTGCTTTTAGAGATTTTGTTAGCTGCTTTTCACCTTCTGTATACCAAATATTGGAGGCACCAGCATGTCTGACTTTCAACTCTGGGCTAGAAAGTCCTGCTACAGAGCTTTCTTCAGTTTCATATTTATCCATTCTACTGGACTCTGATCTCTGAAGATTCTGAATTCCCATCCAGGGCGCATCTAAGTCTTTTATCCAAAGAAAAAAAGATTCAGGTTTAAAACAAAGTGTGAGAACTCATATGATTAAGACTACTTTTTCTAACTATAACTTTCTAATATTGTCAAAAATAAATGAAACTAGAGAGGGAAAAACTGTTCCACATTAGGGAATGGTTTTATTAGGAAGAATATAATGAAAATAAAACACATAGCTTATATATTTTAGTTAGATTATACTTACCTTCCATAACTGAATCTAAATACCTATCTTCAAAGATTATAGGTAATGAATTGAGATCTCCATCTAATTCACTACATTCAATAGGTAGGGGTGGAAGAGAACTGCAGAAGGAAGTATTTTTGATAGCGGTGCACATCTGTAGATGACTCTGAGCACTGAAAAATATTTCTTAAGTCAGACTGTAATTTTTAAAAAATTACACCCATTATACCCAACTCTACTTTACAGACCCTATCTTTTTCTCTTCCCCCCACCATTCCTGACCCCCTTCCTTAAGGAACGACCTCCTTGTGAAAGAGGCGCTTGGTCAAAGATAAAAACTGGTAAAATGAAAATTATGGTTTGTTGAGAATAAACTGATTTATAAAATTACAGTCTGTTGATAAATCATTTAATTTATATTCTCCTATACTTTCTTGTGTTATTACAAAGTGAATTATCTATGCTTAATGTCTGAACTTCCTAATTTGCTGCAAATAGCATATAAGAGAATACCAAAAGCCCAAATGCCTACTAATTATTTGATGATAGTGCTAGAAACAAAATGTGTTCCATGGCTACTGCTCTACTTAACATACAATGTCAAATAAAATTGACAGCTATTTAAAATGAGGTACATAACTTTCTAATACAAAATAGCTAAAAAAACCCAACCAAACAAAAAAACCTTTCTTATGGATAATTTCAGACATATCAAAGTAAACAGAACAGTATTAAAAAACCCACGTACCCATCCCCCAGCTTCAACAATTAATATTTGCCCTTCTTGTTTTAACTATACCTCAACACTCACCACCCACCCCAGTACTCTATTTACAGACTTTTTTTGAGTTATAATTTATATGGATAGAAATATATAAATCTTAATAGTATGATTTTAACAAATGGATACATGATGCAGAACATTTCCATCTAGTCAGAGTTCTCTCATGTCTTCCCAATCCCCCAGCCCAAGTCAATGCCACAACAACCACTATTCTGACTTTTCTACATTTTAGTTTTTCCTGTTCCAGAACTTCATACTAATAGAATCATATTCACTCTTTTGTGTCTGGCTTCTTTACTCAGCATAATATCCTCAAATATTCTTTAAAACCAAAGAAAACCAGAACTAAACATACTCAGTAGGAAAGATGGAAGGCATTTATTCTGGATATTTTAACTATATATAATTCATATTAACATATGAGGCAGTGCCAGTCAGACCACCTGTGAAAATCTGTAATAAAAAAATAATACACAAGAGTCTGACCTATGAAAATAAAGATAGAACAAGATAGCGAAATTGAAGCCTGGAGCCAGAGCTGGATGGGACTACTAAGGTTACAGCAGATCTGATATAAGGGAAGGAAGGGGTTCAGTGCATTCTGCTTCCTTATGTAAAGTATGGAGCTTTCATTAAATAATTTGTAAGATCCAATTTAATTAAAAAGGGGGTTTCTGAACTTCAAATTCTCCTAATTTCTTGTATTGTAAATACTGTATATTCTGTCACTGATAAATTCTGAGATAGATATCTTATTTAAAAGGAAACAAAAACCTTTTAATTTTGGATATATGCTACTCACTGAAGTTCCTGGTATGCAATAGCAGCTTCTCTTGGATGTTCAAAACAAAAGAATGCCTCAGAAAATCTGCGTACCTACAAAATTCCAAAAGGGAGTATGAATAACAGAACATATTTAAAAAGTCAGTCTGGCATAGAATGGTAGGGAGAGAAATTGCCTCTAATAAGCCTTTCATAACCACCCCTGTGAAAATTAAACTTCCTTTCTCTCTCTTCGGTTGCCAAAACACTGTATTTTTGTACTACCTGAAAGAAAAGAGATTCTGGAGAGAGAAATTTAGGTTTAGATTCTAGGTCCCATTTATCCTCCTTAAAGCAGGGATTCTGTTTGTCTTAGTTACCACTACATTCCCAGTACCTACAATAGTGCCCAGCACATGGGAAAAATCAAAATCTGCTAATGCTTCCACCATGCTATGTGCCAGGCTTCCAAACATATGCTGGCTGAATTGACTGACTGACTAGCACTGTGACTTTGGCCATTCAACCTTTGAGCTTCAGATGACTCATTTTCAAATTACACCTAATACTTGTCCTACACATGGAGTTATTGTGAAGAACAAAAAGAAAATGTATGTGATAGTAGTTTGTAATCTGGAATATATGAGCTATTATAATTGCCATTATAGCATTCACTACATTTTGCCTTAAAATAATTGTATATGGGAATTGTCTCCCCTCCTAAAGTGTAATGTTTGTTAGAGTAGGAACTATGTTTTGATGACCTTTGTATCCCTCAAAACATGTATCTTGGCATGTTACAGAAGCAAATACTTGGTAAATACTGTTTGAAGCTAGCTGAATATTTCTTCCACTGTATTTGCATTTTGACCCTTTCATTTTTTTTTTTTTTTTTTTTTTTTTTTCCGTGTCCGGCAACGGATCGCAACCCTCAGTGTTGCCCCCGCACTGGACCGGGGACCGGCAACGGGATCGCAACCCTTGGTGTCACCCCCGCGCCCTGCTCAGCCAGTGAGCGGGAACCGGCCCGCATGTGGGATCTGAACCCTCGGGCGGGAGCGCCGCCGCGCTTCCCAAGCGGCGCACTATCCAGTGCGCCACCGGGCCGGCCCGACCCTTTCATTTTTTATTATTTATTTTTGTCAGCTATTGGAGCAATGTTAAGCAACAGGAGAGGGAAAAGACGTCTTGTTTGGAAGGTATGGGGAGTAAGGAGAAACTACATTACATTTTGAAATTATACCACACCTAACATTCATGATACAGGGTTCTTTGGTTTTAAATGTACAATGAATTAGAGATCTATTCTACTGGTCATCAAGATCTGGCCAGACCAATTTCCAAAGTACTAAACTTGTTTCCCTAAGCAGATGAGCCTGGGTCTTCAGAGGAACAAGTCAACAAGGGAGTTGGGAGAGGAAGAAGGTGCGAAGCATTGATGAAAAAGATGTAAGCTGTGTCTTCACTTTCAAATGCTGTCCAATCGCCTCTTCTTTGGCTCCAACACTGTGAGAAAGAGGAGGAACAATATCTGCCTGTCTGTCTACCTATCAGAGATGGAGGCTATACCCTGGGGGCTATAAAGTGTGAAGAAAAATATGTTCAAGTTATCTGGATTTCTCTGTTGCAGCTGGGCCTGCAAAACTGGGTAGTTGCTTTTCCTTCTCTACCTACCCTAATTCCTAAAATAAATATCATTTCCTGACAGTACACTACCTACTAGGCTCTATACTAAGAGCTTTACTTTCATTCTTTGATTTAAAGAATATAAAAACCCTATGAGGTAGATATCATTTTCATTTAATAAGTGAGAAAACTGAGGCACAAAGAGGTTAATAACTTGGTTAACCAAGCTTGGTTAATAGCTAGTGATAAACCTAAGATTCAAATAAAAATTTTGAGAAACTCCAAATCTTGTGCTCCAAACCACTTATCTTTTCCCTTCTTCATTAAGGCTCACAGTTACCAGAAATCTTTCTTTTCCTTTATGGACCCATACGAAATTCTCTTTCTAAATTTTCTATCACCATGATTATCATTCTGTGGCAATGTATAATGAATATATCTATTAACTGTATTGAGTGGCCATAACTAAAGTAAGACTGCCACCTGATGGCAATATAGCTTAATTTTAGGCAAAAGACACAGAAAAAAATGTTAACGTTACAAACTTAAACTTAGGATATGAGAAATATATATTACTGCTTTGGTTTATATGTTTATTAAAAGTTTTGTGTATGTACCCTAATTTAAAAAAAAATTCACTCATTTGGGAACATTAACTATTTCAAAATTTAGCAAAGACCTAGGAGAAACCTCTACCCCCACATTCAAAATGGGTATTTATTAATGCTTTACGGAGTTAAATGCTCCTTTATCTGTGAACACAGATAATTGCTAATACAGATGCTCCTTGACTTATGATGGGGTCACATCCCCATAAACCCATAGTAGGCTGAAAATATCTTAAGTCAAAAATGCATTTAACACACCTACCCAATGAACATCAGAGCTTAGCCTAGCCTACCTTAAATGTGCTCAGAACACTTACATTAGTCAAGAGTTAGGCAAAATCATCTAACGCAAAATCTATCTTACAATAAAGTGTTGAATATCTCATGTAACTTGTTGAATACTCCAGTGAAAGTGAAAAACAGAATGGCTCACTGTTGCTGACCAGCACAGCAAGAGAGTATCATACCACATATCACTAGCCCAGGAAAAGATCAAAATTCAAAATTCCAAGTACGGTTTCTACTAAATGTATATGCTTTCATATCATTATAAAGTCGAAAAACCATAAGTTGAACCATCATAAGCTGGGGACTGTCTGTATAGCATTTATTATGATACAATTTTATACGTGTCCATCCTAATAAGATTATTCTAATCTTGAGTGCAGGGTCTATATCTGACAGATTACAATATTTATGTTGCCTTGAAAAAAGGAGGCACTTTACAAATGTTTGTTGAACAAATGTTCTTTAAGTCCTTGCATTTTACTCATATCAGAATACCAGAAAGTCCTTTTATTACATGCTGATTTATGCTTACACTTACATACCATTCTAACTGGCTTAAGTTAATTGATTTCCATAGCATATTAAAAGAGCAAATTAGACAAAGGAAAATGAAGAATTATAGAGGTGAGGATAATAGGCAGTTACGAGAAATGATGTGAACTTGACACTGAAAAAAAAAAGACCCTTAAAAAAAAAACCTAGAACATACCTTTAAAAGCATACAAAAGAAATTAAAAATTAGTGTAACTTGGGACCTTTCAATGGAAAAGCCAATATACTGATGTTTTTAATAGCATGGAAAATCAGTGTATTAAAGTTGAGCACATTAAATGAAATTTATAATGATATGTAAATCATTATGAAAGGGTTAAATTATGTTCAGTATACACTACTTGAGAAGGTAGGAACCATGAATCACACTAGAAAGTTTCCACTTAAAGTTTTTAAAATAACTTGAGAATTAACCCCTTAAAAAGTACACTATCACAACTTAACAAAATTTACCTATGGACAGTCTTACTTAAGATGCTAGATATGTTTTGTATACATACACATAAAAGCTATAACATATTTTATGTTTATAAGTTCAGTAAAATTGGAAGTCTGCCCAAACCTTGCAAAATATATAACAAAAAGCATCAAATTAAACACTATAAATAAGTAATATGTTCTCAGAAAGTATTTCTACTTTATTCAGACAATATATCTTATTATATTAAGATTCATATATATAGTTGTACTGAAAAAAGATCACGTGGTCTTAGAGATGAATATCTTTTGAAAAAATGCAAACTTCATAATGTTTTGAATAGATAACACCTCATTGTAAAAAGGTTCTTTATGTAGGAAAGGATGGCTATATGAGGGCACTTCAAAAAGTTCATGGAAAGATTTGTATTATCCTTTAATTCTATTTTTCCATGAACTTTATGAAGCACCTTTGTACAAGCTATTTCAAACTTTTTCCCTCTTCTAGAACATAAATTACACCAATACTGTCGAAAATACCATTTTATGATCTTAAAATCAAAGTAAAAGCTAATAAGAATTCACTAACTCAGTGGTCCCCTTACTAGAAGGTAATGGCTATACATCAGAATCTAGGGTCTTACTAATCCATACTGCAGCTTTAAAGTGCAAATTTCAAAAAGGTGATCCTTCTACAGGCAGATGCAACTGGATTCCAGGGAGGGCAGGCCAAATTCAAGTTCCTACTCTTCCTAGCAGAATGTGTTATTCAGCGAGGAGCCTAACCCTGTTAATCACTTGGAGAACTTTAAAAAACTACGTAGGCCTGGATCTCATTCAGCACTGGGCATTTTTAAAAAGCTCCCCAGGTGATTCTAATGTACAGCCAGGGTTAAAAACTTGTATTTTAACTTCTACTTAGATCATAATAGAGAAATTGGTATAGACCCTCACCTCCTTAGTTGAAAACAACTATAAAACTAGAAAAATACATGAAGCAACTGTTTCAAGCATTGATGCACATGCACTAGACATGCAAAGAATTAGGTAAATGTAACATACAATCAAGACATAAAAGCAGTCAATAGAGATAGACAAGATAATCCAGATATCAGAATTAACAGGCAATTCTTATTTTTTAAATAAAAGGTTTTATAATTTTAGAGCAGTTTTAGGTTTACAGAAAAACTAATCAGAAAGTATGGAGAGTTCCTGCATAGTCCCTCCTCCCCACCCGTGTTTTATTTGGTATCACTGTGGTACATCTGTTACAACTGATGAACCAATACTGAAATATTATTATTAAGACCAAGGTTTACATTAAGGTTCACTCCTGGTGTTGTACGTTCTATGGGCTCTGACAAATGTATAATGACATGTATCCACCATTACAATATTGTACAGAATGCCTTTACTGCCCTAAAAATCCCCTGTGCTACACTTATTTGTCTTTCCCTCCAACTCCCTGAGCACCTACCTGGCAACCACTGATCTTGTTAGTGGCTCCATAGTTTTTACTTTTCCAGAATGTCATATAATTGGAATCATACAATGCTTTTACTTAGCAATATGCTTTCAAGGTTCCTCCATGTCTTTTCATGGCTTGATTGATCATTTCTTTTT